AATTTGCTCTGTAAATTTTCACCCAAATCACAATAAAAAAAAAGAGTCCAGGTACCTTTGATAGATTTGTTAATATAAGATCATTTGTAGAAGTCTCCTTTTAACAAAGATTCAGAGAGTGAAAATGTAAATTGGGATTAAAGAGTTTCTACTGCTTTTTGGTGGTTCTGCTTGGTAGTCCTTTCTACTGAAAGCTTCATTATTTAATTTTCAAGTTATTTATTACTGACACTTGACAGCTTTCTATGGTTAAGGAAGGAGAGCCATTAGCATTTTCATACAGTAACAGTTATGAAAAGATAAATTTTGTAAATCTATAACATATATATATGATACAATTATGCTGTGCTTATAAATATTTTAACTATTTCTCTCATTTATTATATGGTAAAAATTTCTCCTATCTTTACCTTATGGGGGCAGTGGTGATTCATGGGTATAATTCTTGCCTTCTATGCAGGAGACCTGGGTTCAATTCCCAGACAGTACACCTACTGTGTAGCCACCACCATCCCTCTTTCAGCAGAGGCTTGCATGTTACTCTGATGCCGAACAGGTTTCAGCAGAGCTTCCACATTAAGATGGACTGGGAAGAAAGGCCTGATGATCTACTTCTGAAAACCAGGCAGTAAAAACCTTATGGATCACAACAGTCTACTTCCATTATGTATGAAGTTGCCATGATTTGGGAGTCAACTCAGATGCTAACAGCAGCAACAATCTTTACCTTATTTATTTTTCAAACATAAAATGTGTCCTCAGAACTGTTTTTCTTTCCTAGTAGTCTTCTGTTTCCATTGCTGTTTGTTCATATACTTACTACTACAGAGGCTCCAGAAAAGAAGATTTGGGGATTGAGCAGAATGGTCAAAATCTCTTTCCTTGAGGGTCAGAATGGTTGCATCCCTTCCAGGCTTCATTTGAGCTAGAATCTCAGCTCACTTATAGAAGACAATATGTTGGATTTCATTTCCATGAAAATGACTAATGAATTAGGTGCCTATTCTGTGCCAGATACTGTTCTAGGCAGTGTGAACTTGCAAACATTCTTGGCCTTCCTGGGGTTCAGAATGGCTATGGAAACAACAGCGATGGGCTTCTTAATACCAAACCGAAAAGTACGTAGACTTATTCACTCTGAAGAAGGTTTTCTTTTTTTTTTTTTTTATGTCTGGAGGAATGGAGTACAAATGTGCTTTCTAAGGTGGCTGGTCTCCCACTAAAAGAGAGACTGTACGTGCCCAGTTGTTTTTCTAAATTTACCAATGAAATAAGTCACTCTCACCTTAGGAATGAGTATTGGGTTGGACAGCAGGCCTGAGTGCTTAGAAAATTTTTGCCATCTCCTGCAAAACAAAGAAGTGAGGAAGAAACATTTTCTGTACCATTCCTAATGATTACTAGATAAGGCTTGCATCAAATCCAATTTAGTGTGACATAAAAGACCACCCCTGCTACTTCTTAAGCCTCATCACCTTATGCTTCCTTTTTCCTTTCTTTTTTACAGCCCTTTGGAACTACTGTCAGCCCCCTGTGGTGCTGAATTATGTCATAAATATTTTATATTACTTGTTTTATGAAATATTTTCTCCCCATCATACTTGATAAAAATTCTTCATTTAGAGTTTATCTTCTCTGATATCCTTGGTAGATTTTACTGTTCCTTCATCATGACCTTGCTGTTAACCTTTCTGTCTATGTCATAGCATCAGTCACATTCCATGTGTGAGTTGCCCTTCACAAAATGTGAGCTTTTTGAGAGTAGCAACTTTTACTTACTCACTGTTGTATATTTTTTCTTTACCATAGTGCTCGTTACATATTAAACACTTGATAAATAAATGAAGAAATAAAGAAATGAAAACTCAGTGTTTTAAAACCCAGTTCTCATTGAAAACATTAATATGATAGAATTCAGTAAAATGTGAAAGAAGAAAATTGAATTTTGAATTTTTTTTTTTTTTTTTGCTTCATAAATATTTTTTAAATTTACTTTTACTTTAAATTTGTAGAATGCACAAGCTTTTTAGTTTCATTGTTGTTGTTAGGTGCTTGAGTTACCTCCGACTCATGTGACCCTATCTATTTACAACAGAATGAAACGGTGTTCTGTCCTGAGCCATCATTCTTAGTTTTAGAGTGTTGGAAATATAAGCAGTCCTTTCCCTGTCCTTTATCCCTGTCCCAATAGAGCATTTCCTGTGAATCTTAACTTTTAACTATGTTATTGCTATTGATAAAACTGTAATATTATACAACTTAAAAATATTAGATAGGATATAGTATCAGTGTTTTAATAGTCCTTTTTAGAAGTATTTTCTTTGAAAGTAGAGGTAATTTATAATTAACCCTCGAACAAACATAACAATGAATTTCAATTTTATTTTAGCAAAAACAACTGGAAATTGAAAGAACTACAAAATGGCTGAAAATGCTAAAAGGATGGGAAAAATACAAGAATACTGAAAAGGTAATTAAGAATAATGTCATTTCCATATGAATCTATTTAAGTTCAGTGTAGATTTTCCACATTAACTAGTTCTTTTTCATTATAAAAGTGTTACATTCTCTCTCTTTTTTAAAAAGTATTTGTTTAGCAAAATGTTTCATATTAGGACTCTTTATGTTGTAAGTAATAGAAAACTCACCTCAAATTGGTTTCAACAACTAGAGGATATATTGGATGGACCAGAGATAGGATAGAGTTCAAGAGTAATTTAATTGAGCTGTTAAGTTATCTTGGCCATGGCTGACTTTCTTTCCATCTCTCTGTGTTGCCTTCTGGGAGCTCTGGTAGTGTAGTGCCTAAAGCACTTGACTGCTAACCAGAAGGCTGGCGGTTCAAACCCACCAGCCACTCCTTGGAAGGGAGGTTGGGCAATCTGCTTCCATAGAGATACTGCCTCGGAAACCCAAGAGGGGTCGCTATGAGTCACATCTGACTCGATGGCATATAACAACAACAACATATTGCCTTCTGCAGTGTCAGCTTTATCATGAGGTTGGCTTCCCTCAAGGGAAGGTTGGGCAATCTACTTCCTATACTTCAGAACTGTTGCATCCCTTCCAGGCTTCATTTGCACATGTCACACTACTCAGGAAGAGAGAAAGGGCTAGCCTCTGAGAGCTTTCCCTGAAGCATGAGCATCACCTTGGCCAAAAGCTTCTTAGCAAGCCTCACCTTAAATCGTTTTACCATGCATTGACTTTGTGCTAAATTTTAAACCAATTAAACAGATACATACACACACACACACACACATTTCACTATCACCACCAACCTCATCAGGAAAGTCTTTAAATATTAGGAAGCTATCAAGTTTATAAGGAGCTCTGGTAGTATAGAAGGTAAGACATTTGACTGGTAACTAGAAGGTCAGTGATTCCATGCACCACCTGCCCTGTGGGAGGAAGATGAGGCAGTCTACGTCAGTAAAGATTTACAGCCTTGGAAACCTAGTGGGGGGCACTATGAGTCAGAATCTACTCAATTGCAGTGGGTTGGGTTTGGTTTGCCAAGGTCATGGAGAGAAAAGTTTTCCAAAATTCTAATTTTTGCTTAAAAGGTCAAATGTTATCGGTGGCAACAAATATTGTCAATTGTTTTCCTTCAGATGACAGACTCACTTCTCATTCAGTTTTGAGAAAATGCCTGCCAGGTACCCAAATCTGAATACCCATAATGGGTTAGTCAGTGATTGTTTCAAGAATAACAGTGTCATGAAAAAATGCAATTGGTCATGATTCAAACCATTTCATAAGTGCTTTTTCTCAAGGCAGCCATTGTACTTTGAGATGCAAAAAAAGGACTCTGTGTATTTCCCATTTCATCAGTCAGACTATTAATAAGGCCTGTATCCATGGAAGCTTTGGTGACATAGTGCCTAAGGCATTTGACTGCTAGCCAGAAGGATGGCGGTTCAAATCCACCAGCCACTCCTCAGAAGGAAGGTTGGGCAATCTACTTTGTAGTGATACTGCCTCAGAAACCCAAGGAGGGGTCACTATGAGTCGGATCCGACTTGATGGCGGTGACTGTGTTTTTCTTTTTTGTTGTTGTTATTTTAGCATTAGGTTTCAAACTCAAGATGTTTTTAAGAGGAATCAGTTCAAAGTAGAATACTAGTTCAACACCTATGTTCTTGTTTAATATTATGCTGTCTCTCAGATTGGCCTAAAGTTGACAACTACTTTGCCTTGTATCTTTGTGGAAAGATTGCTCAAGTGGTAATTATAGTATAAATTTCGTTACCTTACACCTGCATTTTAATCTCACATTCACTCTAATCAAATATTTGTAGAATTATGGCTTTATGTTCTTCTCTAGTATACATATTTCTATGGAAGTATGTAAGCTTCTGTAAAAATGAGCAATTCTCCTGGACTCTTATGCTGACAGCAACTCTGGCTAATGCAGTTCCCATTAAGACAGATTTTAACAGAACTATTTCTTTGATGTATAATTTTAAAGCACTATCCCACAACTATAATGCTAGAATCATTTGATGATACATATGGCCCAATTTGGTATGAAACAGAATGCACCTTTTAAAAGAATTACTGCTTTCAATTCATGTCTAGTTTTAAATTGCATTGAAGTAAAAAGTGGCATGTATTTTTCTTCTCTTCCAAAGGGGAAGTGTGTTTTCTCTCCACAGATTCTTTAGTTACATCATAGCAATACAAAGAAACTTCTAAAAATATCTTGAAATAAAAATATAGCTCCAATAGAGAAGATTTGAATTTTAGAAAACAAGCTCTGATTAAAAAAATTTCCATTAAGATTGTTTGCGTTACCTGTTTGTTCTCACAGTGACTGTCCACAGTAGTACTCATGTAGGTGTATTTTTAAAAATACAGTCTATTAAATGAAGTTATCTCTGTTTAAATCTCCATTATTTTTAACTAGTCACATTATAATTGTGTGTAAGCTGTGTCTCAGTAGAGTACCTATTGCAGATACACATTTTTTTTTTTGTCAATCAAATCCCTAAATGGACCTTGGAAATCATGTTAGTCAATATTTTATCTTACTGAAGGGAAAAAAGAGGCATATCATTTATAAATAAATCTGACAAGTCCACACAGCTTATTCATGGCAGGTAAGAGATCCTGTGTCCAGACCCTATTATTGTTAGTTGCCATGAAGTCAATTTTGATGCATAGCCACCCTGTGTTACACAATAGAACTGCCCTTAGGGTTTTCTTGGCTGTAGTCTTTACAGGATGAGATTGCCAGGTCTTTCTCCCATGATGCCACTGAGTGGATTTAAACTGTCAACTTTTCAGTTAGCAATCAAACACTTAACTGTTGCGTCGCAACTCTCCAGAAAAACCAAACTCAATGCCATTGAGTCGATTCTGACTCATAGCGACCCCCCCCCCCGTTGGGTTTCCAAGGCTGTAAATCTTTACAAAAGCAGACAGCCCCATCGTTCTTACGCAGGCAGCTGGCAGGTTTGAACCACCAACCTTTTGGTTAACAGCCAAGTGTTTTAACCACTACACCATCAGAACGTCTTACCACAAACTCTAGAGCTTATTTAATTTTACCATTATGTCTTTATGATAGCTTTCCTTTTTGGTGTTTATAAATAAAAGGTCAAAGAAAATAGCAATAGGTCCTTCCCTGTAAGTGGTTTAAAATATTTTAGTTTCTGATTAAAGAGACTAGTGCCTATTTGAATGCAGAGATGAAGGGGCCAATAGAGCAGCTACTTTTAAATAAACTGGAGAGACAATAAAGAGCGTAAGCAACATGGAGAATGAACTTTACAAATAGACTTCATATTACACACTAGGAGTTTTCAAAGTCCCACAGAATTGAACCAAATTTGGCTGAAATGTTCATTCAAAGTTTACTCATAAGTAACTGATAATGTTGTTATGATTTGGACTACTGGCACATTTATTATTATTTTAAAATCACTATAGTTAGAAGAAAGTATTGAAAACATTGCATCATTTGATAGATTTTTTTTCATTGTTCTGAAATAGACTATTTGATTTTATTTGCAAATGAACAAAAATAGTTGGGAAGATGGTAGATGTT